AACGAAATCAGCGTCCGAACAGCTTGAATCTTGTGACGAAATACCAACGTCCTCCCAGATCATCTGACCTCCTAGCACTTCAGGAGCGAAGTGGAGACTTCCGATACCTTAATTGCAGTTATACTACCGCTCTTCTTTGCTACAGCTACAGTTAGTTCCCCTGTTCTGCACTCAACCTACATGATCCTCCCATATTCCTCCTTGCCGTAAGGTTGCTACGGAGACCTTGGCAACCCTTGACAGCTATAGCTAGCATGAACATGAAGCACGTGCCTCTTTCCCATGCATTTGACCGCTACACGCAATACATGTTGTTTCTGCCCTAGCATTTGCACACACGGTAGCTGCCCCGGGGGGCAGGAATGAGGTGACTAACCTACTCTGCATTAGTCACGTCAACTGTCGCGTTTACAAAGTAAAGCAAGCTTTGTAAGGTGAGGGATGCTTCTACCGATCATTTCTTTCATGTGCGTATCCCGTACGAAATAGTAGAAGACTTTACCCAATTGAAGCAAGTTTAGCTGGTGCATGCGGCAAAAAACAATGGAGCCTTTTGTGTCTAAGGACATAACACGGCTGCTTAGCTACTAATGGAAGCATGTAGAGTAACCAGAAAACTCTGCAGACATAGCATTGCTACCCAGGCTTCGTGCAGGAAGGCAAGAGATAACTTTCCTCTGCCCAGTTAACGATCTTATACAACCTTAAAAATCCTGTATGGTCATGCGGGATATCTGTAGGGGCTATGTAAATATATAGATAAGCAACTTTTGCAGAAAATCTCTAACCTGGATACGAGAATAGCAGGTTGTGACCAGCAACTAAGAGATGCTGTTATAGAGGAACAGTAGTACCTTTGCATCGCAGTAAGAATAAACCTATAGAAATAAATCTATAGGAATAAATCTAGAGTGCCATCTACCTGTTCATATAATTGTGTCCATTCGTGCAGCATAATGAACACAGCTCTAAACTGTAACGCATTGTCCACCCACTATAAGGGCTGATAGCGCGCAATATGACATCATTACTGTTACCTCGTTCAAAGCTCGCTCGGCGCGCTTATTTCCTCGGTAAACACTCCAGTATGTAGGCGTTTATTTGGCAAGGCAATGTCACCTGGGTAAAACCACAACAGCTGCGGTGCGCATTACGTTGTCTGCATTGCGGCAAGCCACTCCAAAAAGGCACTTTGCGGTAGTTAAAATCCATAAAAACTTTCATATTGTATAAGAGCCGCTGAGGACTGATTTACATCATTACTTAATCTGAGCTTATAGAATGCCCAAATTTAATAGGCCATTGTTCGATATTTAACACGACTCAGTTCTTCCTCTAAGAATTGATAAGACTTCTTCCAAATGCGCAACAAACAATGACTGCAGTATAACACTTCGTGTTCAATCGTCCTGTTTATAAGCGACGGTTACCTGCTGGACCGGGTAGATATCGAGATATTGTTTCTGCTTAGAAAGTGGCGTCCTTTTCGCCTGCGGCTTTCCCGCAGCTTCTCTTTACCCCCGTATTCCTACCCAAGCATTTCGCCGATGTTGGGTTAAACTTGAAATATTCACTCGTCGGTTCAATACTAACTAGTAGCTATTACCCCCAACAACGTCTCCTATAAAGCAAAGGACAGGCGACAGTGGAGTAACGCGGCAGCCAAAGCCAGCAGTAAGCTACATACGTAAAAGAACACAACGCCTTTGAACACCGTATATATGTGAATTTGGGCAACCGCGCGGAAAGGAACAAGAAACACAGCAAAAAGAAGACGACGGGAGGGAGAAGCGGAGATAACGCTATGACCAAAGGCCATGGACCATAGCAGGCTTACCTTTACCGTCCGTTAGAACCTCTGCTCCTTCCAAGTAGCCTGAACCTAATGGGCTGGAAGGGTGCGAACAACAAAGACCAGAACGCTGCTGCTGCTCGTTATGAAGCCAGCACCGAAAATCAGAAGGCAAAGCCGTTCGTATTGGCCAAAGGACAAGGACATGTCCTAGAAATCCAGGGATATCAGTTTGGCAGCAGCTCAACGAGGAAGGATATATGGAAAGGGAAAGCCAATAGCAAAAGTGATGTAACCACTGTGAGTTGTCCCATTGTATTTTTCTGCAAGGAACTGAATGTGATGCAGTCATAGAGGGCAACATGACCCGGCTCCGATTTGTTGATACGCAGCCAAGAAAGTGGTTAGCCCAAGCGGTTCGATCATTAATAATGTCCAATTAGCTTTAGTTATGTGAACCTGATTTTTAAACCTCTTATGGGTACGGATACATCTTCTGCCTAACAATTAATTTTTTTCGCAACGAGCATGAGGCATTTGTCTTACATTACGTTGGGGTTGCATGTACTCCAGAAGTGGAGGCTTTAAGGATTAGGATGTCAGCATCAATTTAAAGTTTCGCTGGATAGCTGCTTGTACAATAACAAATATGGGAACCGACTTCCCCCTTCCCTCAAAAACGCTCCGTTGTCATTAACGGGTAATTAAGGTTAAAACAAAGTCATTATAGTAAATAGCTGCTACTGTCTGGATTACATGAACAACTTGTGAACTGGTTATTGAACGAACGAAAACGATAACCCGGAATTTGAGTTTTGGTATTCGACCCTATGCAATCGAGGCGATGCTGTGTGAGAGCAAACGACATTTGCGACAAACGGTGGCAAGAAGGCCTAACCTGAAACTTACAATATATCTGTTGACGTGTTTCCACCACCCTTCTACCATATTGCAACTCTGGAATACAACCTTACCAGAAAGAAGTAAATACTATGAAGAAACATTAGGCATCTACTATAAACCGTCCATCTCAAGTGCTCCCCATCCACATTTGCCATTATCATTGAAGTGTATAGCTATCACTAATCGATAGGCTCTGTATATATAAAAGTAGAATTGGAATTCTAGACTATATCTATCTGTATCTGTGTGTTCTATCTGTATTACTGGAAATTTGTTTTCCCTTATAACAATCAGCGAATTGCGCACGGACCCCTATCGCAACGCATATTTCGTCAGCATTTGATATCAATAAATAAACCACAACTAATGGTCACGTTAGACACAATAGTTGAACCAGAGCTGACGGCAACGGCAAAATAAGCTTGAGTCAACCGTTTATTGACAACAGGACGAGTCAGAAACGTCAATTATCAAATCCAATCAAGATATAGGCATACGAACGGCGGCGACAGGGTAGTCAGAAGATTGGAGAATTCAGGCAACAGTTTGAGTACGGAAATCGTTCACGGTGATTTATTTACGCAGAAGTTCTTCTAGCACTGCTAGGTAGACGCACCGGTAAGTATAGTTTTCGTAATTAATGATTGCCACCATTACTCGTGCCTTGCGCTACTCCTGCTATATATTATTGATCAGTACTTCAATTAGCCGGACACTTCAGCTTTGTAACTGAATCTTTAGCAGAGAGTTTCGTTGTGGCCGTTAACGGTCAACACATTGCGCTTTTCTGATACAGAGGCAGCTGACAGCGCTAATTTGTCACTTGTAATCCTAACTGGATCTTAATTTAGGCAGTCCTATGAAATTCTATCAAGCTAGTTCCGTAGATAGGTTTTTCGGCCCCTTAAAGGAATACATGTTGTTATTGCTGAATCACGATCAGGTACTGCCTCTGGCTAAAATAATTACACGCGCTATACCTTCGCTCCGTTCATCTCGGCTAAGTCCTTCCGCAGTGAATTCTGTATGGCCTTTTTCCTGTCGTACTATCGTTTGGGTATGAAAATTCAATATTCTCTTAGATGTTTCGATGAAGCACAATTGCATTTCTCGGCGTTCTAGCAACGGCTATTGCACAGGCCAAAGATACCTCCACAGTTAGGTCTGTAAAAAAGAAGCCCGACTGAGCCAGGTTACAAGTTTGCAAGGGCAAACAACCTAGGCTTCCTCAATTTACCAGCAGTTCATATTTTCACCAATAGTAATCGATCGGTTAGATGCAGTAATCCGTGCTATAATGCGTCAGCTCATTCTCTATTTTTCTCTCTTTCTTCCGTTTTTCGAAAAAATAGAGCACAAAAATACACATGCATAGGACGGACAAATACCCAAAAATATGCGTTGATACACACAGACAAAGTTTACGCGCCACCATTGGCCAAAGAGCTGCCACGTTGAGTGTTGAAGTAAGCGAGTGAGGAGAGGATGTTCATGGCGATGAGCGTTTGCCCCCCACAAGACATGCTTATTCTGCTTCTACCCTCGGGGCATGGCTAACAATCATGCAAATGACACCCCCGAAAGGAGACTTCAAAATGCTTTGTTCCCATCATTCAGCCATTTTTGCTGTAAACGTTGTTTTACTTCGCCTTGATTACTTATGCCGTCAGCGAACGCCATACAGTCAACTTTTTGGCTTTCATCTTATTATGCCTATACAAAAAGGAGGCCGAACAAATAATCTGGAAAGCACTACCTTTGTGACTGCTTCTGTGATTCCTTAACCGACCTCGTGCGCTACGGTATCTTGTTGATTTTCGTGTCGCAAAAAAAGGGAACTGAACGCTTTTTCCTTTTTTACCCATTCAGCTCGAGCGACAAAACTATTTCTTAATTCGAAAAGAAGCAGACAGGAACAAGAAGCTTGTGAACCAAAAAGCGCACAGACAACTCTACTGAGAACATGGTTTTGTGTAAATGAATGTAGTTGTACTGCTTGTACGGATTCCGCATTTGATTAAAATTTACATGAGGCAGTCATGTAAATAAAAATATGGTAAATACTTGAAAGGACAGTACTGTGTTACGTGTTAAAGCCGTAAACTTCGTCGCTAGTCATAACAATGGATGGCGAAACCAAGCAGTTTTTTTTTTTAACTTTTGACAGCGTCACTATTACCATACGTTAAGAGTTCTAAGGCTATACTGAATATAGGGGGATCTATTTCCGCTGGACGCAAAATAAAATCCTGAAATTTCATCTGGTTGAGGGCTGATTATTTATCACTCATACAGCACCGCAGTTGACAACGGCATAACCTCAACTAAGGTTTGCTTAATTTTCCATTAAAACTTCAGAATTCCTTCTCAGGTACATAAAATACTCAGGCCCACTTATACCAAGGACAACAATCCTCATTGATAATTAAATAGCCACAAGAGTCACAGCCCGCAAAAGAAATCGACATTTTATCTTTTTCATAATAGTTTTAAGGTGAAAACGGATGATAGTGGCAAGGTTTAGCGACGATGGGTTATAGCGGATCGGCTGCAGCCCGCCCTCCTGGCGTATCTAGAGAGAACCGTATGTGCACCGGCCATCCAGACCGGTGCCTTTCAGTCGAGATAGCGCTGATTGCACTGACTTGGGTGTTGCTGGTATCACGGACTACAAGTTCTCACGAAACAAACGCTGGAAAGAATAAAATAAAGAACAAGAAGACATCAGGGTCCGTTATGACAATAGCACACTTTAGCTGATTACACAAGGCCACGGCCATTGCCACGGACGGCCCTACTGCCTTTAGCAAAGTGACGACGTCAAACTTGGCTTGCCGGCTGTTTTTGCTGGCCCTACAAATAATACTTCCAGACCCCCCTTTCCGGGTCCCTTAATCCGCATCACCTTAGAGCCTAGGGCCGGCCTTCTCGAGATCGATGCATGAAAGCGGCACAGGATATTTCTTGTGTGTCAGGATGTCGTACGATGTTTTCACTTTCTATAGCCAAATCATCTTTAATTTATCATTTCTCCTGGTGGTGGGCAATTAAAACCTTCATACAGAGCTTCATAAATACAGGTCATTAGCACGATATCTTAATATCAGAAAAGAGTATATAAAACCATTGAAAAACAGAATGCCTCATGTGGGTTATATGTGCTTTTAGCCAAATGTGCTAGAGATGTTCTCTAAGCACCGTAGGATGTACTTACCACAATGTTCCCCACATTTGGAGTGCTTGCATGAATCGTCGGGCTCGTGAAAACCTCTGCTCCTAAACGCCGAAAGGGGACCTGCGTTATGTCGCGAGGCCTGTTGAACCAATCCTATCGAGCAAGTGTCGATGGTAAATGGAAGTACTACGAGACACTATATACATAGTTTCAGCAAGAAACGACATTTTGGCTCGGCCTTATGTTGCATCCTTCATGCCCTTCGGCTTTGCACAGCAAAAATTGTGGGGGTAGAGTTGTAGCCATTGGCTTAGCCGTACGTGTATAGGGTACACTGGAGATTATGAACATTAAAAAAAAAAAGGTACACAGGCTCCTGTGACTCCTCAATTATCGGATGATGTCAATATGTGCATACAAAAAACATGGCCGTTACCAATTAATTCTGAGCGCTCAGTTTTGCAGCTCGCAATTGCACATAGTTCGTGGAGTGCGGCCTCTCACAGCACGTCTATCTGATATGAAGTTATATCCATAGCGTAGTCGGTTAGCTGGAATACGATAAGAAAAACAAATGATGAGGATTTCACTTTCCCAAAGTGAAATTTCTTACGTCGTCAATATAAGCGTCACCGAATATCGCTTCAATAATGTCAAGTGTGTACTAAGGATTCTGTATCCTTATCCTAATTATATTTTATTCCTATATTTTCATCTAAGTACAGCTTCTGTGCGTAGTTCACAGAAAATTTACATTGCAAATGCTCAAATGTTTGTACCAGTCAACGAAAAACGGTCGAAAATATATACTGTAAAAGAAAAATAGGTATATTTCAGTTTTCGAAATTCTTGTGCCTTTCGAGCTACTACGTCGTCGTGTTGCTTGACGTCTTGATGATGCGCCTTTATATATTCCGTATGTCCAGTTAGTAAATAATCATTGGTTCAACATGTCAGGCTTGTTATTTTTAGGTTAAAATGCGGTAACATGTGTGTGCCGTTTGAGAAATGATCGTCCCTGCTTTTCCCAAATCATCTCTCGTTCTATCAAGTTCTATCAGACAACAGAAAATAGCATAATAATAGTTGTTATTAAATAATTACGCAAAAAAATACTATTTGCAAAATTTGAACTTACATGATAGCAATGACTTAATACTAACAGCATCAGCAGCAATAACAAAAAAAAACATTACCATTAATCTCATAAGCTTCATCATTGTAACTAAGTAAGTTCATTCGTCGCTGGGCAATACTTATTCGTACTCAGATCCAATATGGTGAATCGAGTCAGCTTCTCTCTGTAATAAATCAGTGTTTGTGGAGCAATAGAATTCTCGTTCTGTTCGAGTACTTACTACATGACTCTGTGAGCTTTTTCGTTCCATCTTTTTTCTCTGACGTTTTTTTTCTTTATTTATATTCCGTTACCACCACTGCCACCAGCTTGGCTTTTCTCTTCCATCTTTCTAAACTGAAAGAAAACTGAAAAAAAGTTGACTCAGCCGATACTTTCAGGCGGAACCAGAAACGGGAAGATGGGGAAGGTTCTTAGCTATTTTCACCTACCCCATCAGATGTTCGGTTTCCCTGATTTCGGTATTTTGCCGGACCGCCTGGATTACTTATTTCGAGTGAATTTTGCTTTGCGCGTCGCGACGTCACCATGGCGTTACGTTCGTTGCAGAGCCGTGAAGCAAAAAAATCTGGTAAAAGTGAAATATTTGCTCTGATGCTAGAGACGAGCCCCGTATGCATAAGACAGAGATATAAGGTTGTGGGGTATCTCTTACTACGTAACTATACCATCGTTCAGTTCAGCCGGGAGAGCTCGGGCCAATAGTGTCATGTATTATCTATATATGCGGTGTGCTACGCCATACTGCTTGCAATCAGACGATCGACTGAATCGCATAAGAGTGAGAAATACCAGTTTTTCCCCGCACGGTCGTGTCCTCTGTTGCAGTCCTGTCGTTGTAAACGCTTCCTATTGCCCGACGATAGCCGATATTCGCCTCATCTTCTGCTATCTCAGCGCTTCTAACAACAATTCATAGCAAAAGCTTTAGTTCTCACGGTTATGATCATAATGTTCGCTATTACTGGTGACAGATTACTATACGCTCTGGGCTCTCATAGGAGAGGGACGCAGGTGGCCGGACGGGAAAGAAGGCAAGTGGTAATATAGTAGTAGCATAAAATCGCCAACCGAGTTACGATATTGACCGCCATATTTTTTTATTCGTCACGCGCAGCTGGCTATCTGATTTGACATCACACCTCGTCCATATGGTAGCTACGAATCTTCCTTCATTTCTCTATTTTGAAAAAGCAACTACATCAGTAGCAACGGCGATGGTGTTAAAAAGGGGATTATATAGAAAGATATCGGTCTGCGCGCGGGTTTTAAAGTGCTATTATGTATTATAGATGTTTAAATAGCTGCTTTCTCTATAGTACTGTTACATCTATGGACGTTACGGTACATCACAGAAAATACTCGCTTATTTACTTTGAAGTTCGTGTTTGTGTAAGCGTAGAAGCGCAAATAGTTATCTACGTGGTCATACAGCCCAAATATGGTTGACTTGTCGGAACTCATTGGAGAATCGTCGATAAATTTCATGTCTGTCCTATAATATCCTATTATCACCTTCCATTCATAAGAAGCTCCGGTTGGCATTCAGTCGATTTTATTTTAATAATATACTAATCTAGATAATATCCTATTGTATTGTTTTATATGGCGTGTTCCTTTGCACTAATTTTTTCATGTATTCAATTCCCTGCAATAAACAAAACAATAGCTAATACATTGTTCTATCGTGCGGAGCCGTTACCTATTGTGGGGACAGCGAGTTCCCTTATTAGGTGGCTTAGTTCATGAGGGGATTATGTCAGTCGTGCTATTCGGACCTTGTTTGCCTCTCGGGAATTACCAACCCAATTTTAGACTTATCATCGTTACACAAGGAGCCGGTGCTATCAGAGAGACGTATGGGAGGCAGAGTTGAGTGACGGTTTCTCTAACGGTTGACTTCGTATCTTCACAAGGACCTGCCGTCATCTTGGCTTTATCACACCAGCTTTGTCGAAATAACATCACTACATTCAATAGAAAGCCACAAGGTTAATAATACGCTCCCGCAATTACGACTACAGCCAGAGTTATTCTTGAGAGAGTGACTCCAGATGACTACCAAGGCATAAACTCTTCTTACCTGCCGGAGTAACTGCCTGCTCACCCAACTCAAGCAAGTGTATTTGCTGCCACGCCTCCAGGCATCACCTACATTAGCGGAAAGCATTTTCGGCAACGGTTGGCTCATAGCTTACTTTGTTAATATAGAAGAACAGATCATGTGTCTTTTAGGCTTGCATAGGTCGGGTAAAGATTGGATTTGTACTGGCAGGATTTCCATTGCTTCATCCATCAGAACGAATCGCTGTGACAATAGGTTCCACGCGCTGGTCAATAAGCAAACCGTTCTCGCTTGCTAGCGTTCGTCGGTCAAGAGGCGCGTCTGCACAGGCAAAACATGGACGGACAGACAAAATTCAATCGACAATATCGAAAATGAACAAACCGTTTGTAATTGGAAATATCGCAAATATTGCAGTACGTTTAGCGGCTTCTGTAGCGTGACATACATTCGGGCAACGAATAATGAAAGACTGATATTAAATGCTAGGTGTCCTGATATAAGCTCAGGGTAATTTTCGAAATACAGCTCGAAGGTTGTCACCCAACGTTTGTTGAAAACAGTTTAATTGTGTTGAAAATAAGGAGTTGTACCTTTCACGGAACAACGCTATTTACGCGGAATAGCCAACACTCAAATATCAAGGTATGAGGCAGCCAGTCCGTCTAGGGTCGATATATCTACCAAAAGAGTTTTGCCCCACTCTAAATATTGATCTAGATGTGTGTCTGAAACAAAATCCAAAAGTCCTAGGTAGAGACCGTCCATGATCAACTTTACTGCGATCAATATGTGTATGTGTATGTGTATATGTATATATATATATATATATATATATATATATATATTATATATGTAATGTTTAAGTAACGTACAAATATCGCTTATATGATGATAATAGTAAGTCTCCTTTTGCTTTTACTTTGTAGTTGAATGAGCCTTGAAAATTTCGTTCTATGTACTGTACCGCAGGGCAGCGAGGGCCGCAATAAAAAGTAAACGAACATACAACTCTAGTAATATTTCTTTTAAAAATATTCCCATCACCACCATCAACACAATAGTAGTGATGCTTCTTAAAGCAGACCCAACCCGCTGATTAAGCTATCTCCTGAGTTCCTGCTCCATATTACCACACAATACAGGCAGTCGCTGATCTTGAGATTCTATTATATCGTAATGACGCACCTTTATATAGTTAATGCTACCATGTAATACAATGTTGAACAACGAAGAACCAACATGAAAATAACCACCTAAACGTCCATTTCATATGCATAGACAATAAAACTAGGTAAAATCTAACATAAGCCCACGCAGGTGAGTGCTGCCCAAGACGCTATTGTGGTATAAGGAGCTCACTGTCGTAGGTTACAATGACGGCTCCGTCCATACCAACTGAAGCTAATAGAATTACAGGAAAAAAACAATTTACGAATGTCCCTACGCTAAGTTACTGTAGCTGTGACTAATGTTGGGATCGTTATGATCGTCAGCACGGTGAGTGGAACGAGCATGCACACTGACATAAGCATTGACCGTTCAGGTGTTCCCATGACGTCTACGGGCACTGGTAGCACTTAGCGCGCAAATATAGGCCGTCGACGTTGTGGTAGTAAGCGCAACAGGTCACATTAAGGTTGAACAGAGTGAAACAGTGGTTAAATATTGCTATAGTAATCGAAGTAGTGATAGCAGTCCCTGATCAGGGGAAAAAATAGAAGACGAAGTGAAGGGAAACATTTCATTTTCGCCCTTCTACGCTTCGCTTGCCCCTTTCTGAACGCCCGCGTGTTTGACCCCGCAAGTAGAACAGAAACGACACCATCAATGATTGTCAGAAGTTGCTGGAGATGGCTGCTTGAAAGTTCTGTCTTCTTCGGCTATTTTATCGCCATTGCTGTCTGTTGGTACTGCTGCCTTGGCCTTTTTCAAATTCTCATAGGACGACAGTAGAAACAAGTACAGTGGCAGTAGTAGTGGCAGAAACTAGTGAAAGATATCTTTTGTCCTAAAACCATCAGCTTATCTGCTTTCCACGCCACGATTCGGCCGTCAGCATCGCCTAAAGGCCACCATTAACTATGAGCAGACTTACATAGCCTGTTAATTGATATATACTACGTAGATACGTACCTGCTATCACACGTATAATAAACTAAAGCCAACAGACACGCTTTTCACTTATGACGAGCGGTCCATTTTACTCGACTCAATAGTCAGACGCAAGCAGATAGCAGGCAACAAAGTAGCTTACAAATAGAATGACGACCATCCAGTATCTCGTAAATACAAACAGCCGCTTCATGTATTCGTGTCCCATACGAACGCCTTGACGGCGTCTAAGCTCTCAAATATGCTAGTGCTGCTCCTGGTGAATACGGGTTTGTCATAGTCATCGTAACCGTCGACGAGTTGTTGGTGGGCATAACGACGACGACGCTAAAGATAACGCTCTGCCGCTTCCGTTACCGCTACTGCAACTGTGACGGTGACGTCGATTCACACGAATCTGCTGTCAACACCAGCGTTGCCTTTTCTGTCACTAGATCGGGTCGTCTTCGCGGTCACTCGCAATATTCATAATTGCCCCTCCCTTTCGACCATCGGACCAACAGATAACAGTTGACGGCTCTCAACGAAGCAGTCTGCTGGATAGATACCGCAACTGAAAGAAGTTCCGCTACACAAGGCACATGGACGAACGAAGACATTGCTTCTATTATCAAAGACCGCAGCGATAACACGAAATGCGAGAGTAAGCAAAGTCAAATATTAACTGGGGTTTGTCTAGCGCACCCCCTTCTTTCTTGCGCCGCTTCTTCAATTCAGGAAAAACAAAATGTTATGTACTATGTATTTGTTCGCCGAAGAGAAAAGTAGAAACGATAAACTTTGAAAGAAGATAGCCGTGAGACTCGTTTGACTATGTAGGAAGGTAGCCTTGTGAATTTTCACTTCACTCAACCAGGTGGTAGTACATAAGGTAAATGTTAGTTGTACTATAGCTAACATTACAAATAGCTTTCAGCCAGCTGCAGATCGATCGACAGCAAATGACATCTAACATCGGACGCTGATGTGGGCAATGGAGGTGGGAGGCAAAGCTAAAACTAATAAAAACATCTAAGATGTAATTATGTATAATAACAACAGAATGCAACTCCGAGATGCATTTCAACTCCATTAACTACAGGTGGACAAGTGGGTTTTTGTTGTACTTTTGTTAGGTATGGGAAGCTGTCATATTACGAGTACACACTTCTGGGCAAAACTGCCCAGCACTTAAGGTAACAGCTGGTTTTGATGAGGGACCAATATGCATTCGGTTGGTGTTAACTTCACCTCTATGCACTGAACTGGTTAACAACAGTTCTGCCTGTTCAATGGACAGATTCATGAACGGGCTTACCTGAAAACACAGCAGTCAGAACGCGTAGTTAGAGCGTATCACAAAACTAATGTAGGGTTCAGTGATATCAACTCAATGATGGATTTTATTTGTAGTTATATTTTTAAAATATATTAATCACGACTTGGATTGATAAATCCAAACACTCATGCGCACATCTATATTATATCTACCACTAGAACCGGTTCCTAAATATACGTTCATGTACCAACGAGAAATCCTTCAGTTTCCACGAAACCTCGTAGCGGTCGCTTACGTTGGCAGCACCTTGCGGTGCTTCACTTGTTATCTACCCAATGCGGTAACAACACACGCTCCCTCCTTTTTGAGTAATCGCGGAACTAAGTTACGGTCCCTACGTGGGCCTTTGGTTTGCCTTTTAGTGTTCCTCTTCTACTTTATTCATGGTCCCACATACAAAGCAGGAAATGGCTGTAGTGGCCATTCCGTTAAAGGCAGCGACAAAGCTATCGAGTAAGGACTAAAGAACATCAAGAGAGCTGCTAAGGTATGTTCCGGACACGCTAGTCTCGATCTGTCTTCGTGTTATAGCTGGACCCTCCATTCCTTCCCTGTTCTCTCCGTTTGATCTCAGAGTCCTACCTTCTAATAGCCGCCCTCGTGCGTCAACTAATCTTGCATGCAATTGAAACCAATGGAGTAGCTGCGCCACTTCTTCGGTATGATCCATTGTTGCCTACTTACATATCTACAGTTCAATACACATCTTGTATCGTATAACAATTGTTAGATGCCCTGGAGCTCTCCGATATGAAGTCGATGCAGTCGTATGTCGGTCACAGAGAGTGTCCGGCTTAGTATCTCTGTGTCAATATCATCATAATATACAATAAATCGAAATTAGAGACAGATCTTAAATTGAATCGAGAAACAAAAACAACTTTTCTCGAAATTTCAAGGAAAAACTAATAAACGCGACTTTTGAAGCTTTCTCTTTGAGAAACCTGCTCTGCTTTTAGATCTGTTAACGTTTGGCATTAGATGGCGCTTTTTTCCCTTATTTCCCATTCATAGAAGTTTAGCTGCTGTACACAAGGTTTAGCTGAGAGGCCATAACAATGAAGCAGTCCTGTGTTTCTCTACCAGTCTCGCCCTTCGTTGCTCTGCACCATCAACGCCTGCGTCGTTGTGGTGATGGAATTGAGTTTAAAATCAAATTCTAACGCCAGTGGTTACCGGCACGTCGATCTGCGACGGCTACGCCATTTTGTTAAGCCGCTTACTGTCATAATCGCCACTATAAACATTAACCCATTTAACCCGTTAAACTCTGACAAAAGAACATTCTCGCTAGTTCCTCCGGGGGTAGCTAGACTAGAAACCGGCCCGTTATGATCGCTCCTTGATAACTGCAATTTTGATTGCATCGGTTCGCGGACTCAGCCCATAGTTTTTAATTTCTGACGCCAGTGAGTACAACGAATTGGTTACTGGTCCACTTTACGCTTCCTCCATGTATCCAGGACTTACTGGTACCAAGCGCTCTTCACGCCTTTGTACCCGACAATAGCTGTCTGTAATATCTCTATGCCTGTCGGTCTACTCTTGGAACTACTTAATGCGCTAGCTTGCTTGGCGTACAGCAAGTGTCAACAGATAATGCACAGGAGATAGTTGAATCTCTGTAAGTACTACTTACATGATGCACGCGCCAAGATCACTGGGCGTCACAAAAGCTATGATAAAGCTTCGTGCACAAAACAGACGTATGTATTATATTCCGTCGTTCAATAGCAATAAATATTAAGTAAAAACTAGTATCACTCACTATATTGGTCACAATTACAAACAATGATTTGTCATATAATTAATAATACTCGGATATTCCTCTGACACAGAAATACGTCCCAGGTTTTTTTAATGAGCTATTAATGTTTAGATGAAACAAGATTAAATACTAATTCGAATTGCTGATAACCTGGAAAAACAAAATTTTAATATAAAATGCGCGTATCCATGTAAGATTTTATGGACCTCTGCAGCGAACTGTTACTTCCGTGACAACTTTCGATCGTCGTTGGCGCTAAATTCAACAGCAGTTACTACAAGGAACTTTACCAGCCAATGCTCAAAAAGCATTGCTTCATAAAATTCGTTCATACACAACCAGAACGATTGCCCATAGACCTTATGTTAGCCCTCACCTGCACAAAGGCCCTGGCAAGGCACTCGTCGTCTGTTGCTTGTTTGCTGCGATCTTATCCTTTGCAGCACGGTTAGTTGTATTAATCAGTAATCGATCAATGTATGGTAATGCTTGCTAATTAGATAACCAGTGCGATGGTGATAGCAGTGTCTTATGGCTAAAGCAGTATGTTGCAAGAGAATAATTGAACCCTGTTTCTTTTTACCTCTTCCTAGAGAACATCTACGTTCCACTTGCAGCGAGATTTCAATCACTTGGGCCGAAGATAGGCTGACAAACAGGCAGAAAGGATCAATGGTAAAGTAACACGGAGTTAATAGCAGCTTTTAGCCTTTAACAATTGCATAGCATATTTGCAATGGCAGTCTAGCCGGATGTGACTTCATTGTTTAACTCACAAAACCTCTCTAACAAGTAACAAGCATTGTGCTAGGCAGTGTTTAGGGGCTGAAAGCATCATTTAACCTATATATATATATATATATATATATATATATATATATATATATATGCATATAGTATGAAGGAGCAAACAGCAGTGAAATATGGCGGTCCCTGGCCTTAATCTATCTCAGTCCGAGGAAATGGATTTAAGATGTCGAAAGAGAGTTCCAAGGCGCAACTCAATCGAAGTGACTAATCAGTTCATTGAATAGAGGCATACGGAATCGCTCAAAGAACCTCTACAATCTTTTACAAATTTTCTAACCTAAATATCTCGAGCTGACAGATCGCGCTCCTTCAGAAAATGTTAGGAAACAATTTATGCAAGCCTACTTTTGAAAGGCGATGATATTTAAAACAGCAACATGGCACTGACCTACTTTAGGGCAAGGTGCTGGCCTTCCGGGAGGGAGGAACCAGAAATAAGCGAAAGAAGATAGATGCATTTCTTATGTCCTGATCCTCCTGGACTTTCTCCCTCTTGTACCTTTCGCGTCCGAAGCAAACCAGCGATAGACACTGTAGCGAAGTGATGGCAGTGAAAACAGCGAACCCTGGGTTAAACTAGTCACCAGAGCCGAACCCATTTTGGTTGTTTGTAGTGCTATCGATTTGGGCTCTGGGCCAGATTTGTCCGGTCACTCACTACAGCAGCTTGTCCTGGGTTACCACTTGATAGTGTTGGTATGGTTGGACGGGCTTCCTGACGGCGAGAGTGGCTATGTTGATTCACCGCGGCAACAATCGCCGGACCATGACGAGCACGCACTTCTTCGACAATTAAGTCGCTGGTCAGGTAGAGAACAGTAGGTGATAATTGGGCGGTACTTGCTGGACTGCTTAAAAGACAGCGAGCAAAACGGCAGGCGAAGTCTTCCTTGTCAAAAGGGACAGCCAGACACCTGGCAAGCAGCACTTGTCAGCAGATAGAGCGCTGTTATCTTTCGGTAAGGGGTGCAAGTAGCCAAGATCGATTTTGGCAATCCCTGCGGATCTGTGCTATATGACTTCGGTTAAATATTGTTCTGTCCAATATTGAATGTGAGTATAGCATAAGACGATCACGAAGTCCCCTATCATATCCTTACGTTACCTGTAAAAGGTAACAATGAAGAAGCCATAGATAAAGAATATCTACATGTCAACTATTTTTTGGGAATCAGATCTTCATTTAAAATGCTCGGCGGCAATGGTACCGAGCGTCACCATATGAGCCGCTTACCACCCATCATGCGACTGAGATATGACAGCCATCAGAAAAAGTATGGAAATAGTTGCGGTTTCTATCCAACAACAGAGGTACCATGGAAATTTTTTCTTCAATTTTTACAACAGTTTACATTTACAAATTTTTTTTTAGACCAGTAGTTCACTTCTCTTTGAACAAGTGAAATTAGTGACCACGAAATAATTTCGGGTTGACAGCTTATCAGCTGGGATACAAAGCTTTACGAAGCAGACACATGCTCACGTCGACGTTTTCTTTAAAACAGAATCGTCATCGCAAGCTATCGTTTGAACAGCAACTGATTTGTTTCTTCTAGTATCGATTTGAAAGACACAAGATGCTCATTGACATCACTGACCTCAATAATAACAGCGGTTTTTATGGATGCTGTTTAAATGCCCCCATGTGTTCGTTGAGGCCGCTCGATATCTGATGGCCCTAATCGCTACAATAGCGGATAAAGCGTCTATTATATAATATCCTATTTTGGTGCTACAATACGTACCGTATGAACTAACAACTCGACTCGGAAGAACTAACACGCGCCAGCTTTGCTGAGCCAATATGTACGGGATAAGAGAGGTACCAATCAATCGTATTCACTCCGTAATTAATTTTGAACTTTGTACGAACACGAGTATGTATGTTCGAAACTTACTTACTAACCCATTCGAATCAAGTCGGTGGATGCGTAAGAGGATTAGGCGAGCTGAGCTTGTCATTGTGGTAAATTACCTCGTCGTCGAACATATCTAGCTGATAGTTCAATGACTAAAGACCGATATTGGCTCATCAATAGTTAAATGCATACTTAGCCTAGTTCCGTTAGTTCTATGGCTAACTAGAGCGCCTTTACCAGTCATTCTTAAACGATGGTCACAGCCATTTTAGTCATTCACATGCGTTACGTGTGTCCTGCGTAACAAGACGCTAGAAATATGTGCCAAGCCTTTAATGCAAACTATTACATATGAACACGAGCACATCCGAAACAATGTGAACCCCTCGCACATTTACATGTTGTCGCTTGGTGGACACTTGTGGGTTTTGACAATTCGAAACAATTCCTGCCTAGTCATCGTGCGTTAATTTTCGCTTCTGACCTTTTTCCGAGGATAACTCGACACGACTGTTCGGGACTTCGCTGAACTGAATGATTGATTGTGAACCAATGGCTTCTTACAGTGCCATAAATATTATTAACGATCTATAGCAGCCACAAGCAATCTTCGGGATAGCCATGCATCCGTTCGGCGCCCTCCCCTACGTAAACCATGACATTCTTGCCATCTCGCTATAATCCCTATGTTATCTCCCCGGTCCGTTATTTTCACAAATCAAATAATTGTAAAGGCTATTAGTCCGTTCGATCCTTGCCTTCAAATGACGAGCGTCGTTTCTCTGCCTCCAAACCGATCACAGATACCACAAAATCTTCGATTAATGACGCCGAGATAGCGACAGTTATGACGCTTAGTCTTCTGACGCACTGGATATTTTGGCCGACCCTGAAGGGTCAGTGCTATCTGACAGTGCCTACCCGATAACGTCTCATAAGCAGCCTAAGTACGTTGTTATTTAATCGCTAACGAGTACAGAATGGCGATGCGTACATTAAGTAAGCGACTCGACACTAATGCCCATGTACCGAGAGAAGTTATTTGGCCTTCTGATTACTGAAGAGCTAAAATCGGAAGTTACAGTTTTGCTGCCAGACAGCGCCGAACAAGTTCTGTGCTTGCTTCGCTGAACGAGCTGCTCAGTAACTGAAACAGATATTTTTATCGAAGTTAAAACTTCCCAGTTGTAATTGCCCACGTGAAACGCCTGTGCAAGTGTCACACACAAAATATATAATCGGCAGATAGCGTACATCGATACTGCTCAACTTCACAGCGGAATGATATCAAGATGTACGAAGTGCAGTGACAGGCAGCCGTACGAATCATCTATTACTAATTAGTGTAATCTATTCTTGGCGCTCTAATCAGCACTAGCTTTAATGTGCGAAAGCAGCTACTTAGCGTAAGTCTCCCGCTGAAAAAATAAGTTTAATAGCAAACTGCAAATGCAGATGTAGTTAAAACGTATAAACACAAACAAACATACGAACGATTCCATTAATCCTATAGCCTCCAGAGTCCTCTCGATGGCCGCAGCATGTACGACTTTTAGACACTTTTTTCATCATTTCAGCCCCCATTCGACACGTCGGCTATTTATTGGTGTATCCCATTGGTTCCGTAACCCCACCATCAACACGTTCATCAGGCAGAATTGATGTTCTCTTTGCTCGTTCATTAACGATTACTCGTCCTTCTCGCCTGCTACTCGTTCAGCGTTTGTTCCTCTCAAGACTCTTGTTTCGGAAAGCACCAACAAATAATCTCTAGTCTGCCGACTCTTAAGCACGTTCATCGCAATGAAAAGCGGCGTCCTCGGCAACGGGCCTTAGATTGTTAGCGGTTTCTTGTTTGGCCTCCCTTGCACACGAAAAGATGAAATCCCTCTTGTGCAATGCAGTTATCCTCACCACCAAAGTCCACTCTGGATTTACTCTCGTCATGCAGTATTGGCCTCCACAACGACGACAGCGGTGGCGATCACGAAAGATTTTCTAATGATCAGCTGTTTCAAATGCATTTTAGTTTATGGCGGCTAAACCAGCTGGATCTTCTCCAGCAGATTGCACACTTCTAGCAGCTTACGCCTTGCGCAACCGTTGCCAGTGAAACCGTTGTCATCAGCGCCCGTTAGCGCTAATGCTGCATGTGTTGCAATTTCGGTTTCTGCAGTTATTACTCTGCTGTGAAGGTGGATCGTAGCTTCGCTCGGTCGCTGACTATCGGCTGTTGGTGCCACCATTCTAGATGACCGTTTCACGGTTCAGTAATTTCTCGCTTCAACACCTTCCCGTCGTCATTGACCCAGTTTGGCAGCAGTCATCATCGATGAGAATGATTCGGAGAAGAAAGCCGAACAGAACGAAAGAAAGAAAGAAAAGAAAAACGGGAGAGATAGATGATGTCGCTGCAATCGCGGACCCATCGTATATATATATAGTGAAAAGAACGTCGGCACACAGCTTAAGTATACTGTAGCATTCAGGCCATCACGAATAGGCGTTCGCTACAAGGTATGGCGGCATATTGAAGTCGCGAACGCGAACACATGCAGAGATAGACAAGCACAATATGCAAGGATTGCTGTTGGTTTTGCTTAACACTTACAATCGATCTAAATTTTGCTGTCTTCCAAAGACTCAAAGAAGATTGCCCCGTTGCGGTAACGATCCATCCGCGTTCCTAATGCTTCGCGTAAACAGAGGATCAAGCGGCAACGAAGCGAGTGAGAAGAGTAGCAGCAACAATAATATTACGCTATATATATGTATATGTATCAACTGTTGTAGCTATTGACGGCTGGGCCAAAAAGGCTGTCTTAATCGAGCCTTGTCGTTTGTCCACAAACGCTAGCGCCTCAAAACTTCGTTAAGACCCGTTTGCCCGCGGCCGACGATTTTACTTCGTCTCCTTTTTTTTCCAAATAGTTGACAGTGAACATTGGCATCACATCTCAATTGTAGTAGCCGACGCTACGAAATCAAATCATTAGCGGCACATGTGCAGACGATATTTCGGTGATAAACTCGCATATCTTGTGCCCACTATACTAAAGATATAGTAAAATGACACGGGGTTCTACTCGGGGGGGGGGGGGGGCGTTGATCGTGTCAATAGTAGAAAATTTCGTTGCCTTTGTTGATTGGCTGGTTAATCGACATAGAAAATGTCGATATTTTAAAACCCAAGAGGTACTTAAAAATCGAATTATCTATTTCATCGATGCGGCAGCCCGTATCATGGTGCATCATCGGTCTGTCAAGCCATATAAAGTAATTAAACGAGAGTACAACGAGTTCACACGGACGATTTTGTAGATGCTGTTCTGCTAATCGTCGAAATAGTGTATCTTGACGTTTAGCTGATCACTGCTGATTCTGTACCTTAGAGCAGCACTTCTAAAGATTCGATCCTATCGATTATTATATACAAACAAAGTAAAACCCGTGTCCAAAATACTATATCGTCATATTGCCAAACAGAATTCCGATTTCGGCTGTGCACGTTGCTTTAGGTTGATACTGTTGTATTTTTTCTCGATGTGCTAACTTTAGATAACCAGAAGAACTACATTTCCGCCACGCGTCACCAAACTTTACGACCTTCTCATGGCTAACAAAGCTTCTCCAATCATCCTTTGTCTCAAACAGGTACTGCAAATCATAAGCTTCATGCAACAATAACAAAAGCACTAGTCATAGTTAATCATAACATCGTCTAAAGGGTTACCTTTTTTGTTGTTGTTCCATGAAAAATTACGACACGACCATATTGCTTATCGTATCGCGTATCGCCTCCTATCCTCCCTCCCTCATGAAGCCTAGATATCACAAGGTAACAAACGGCATTTATTGACGACAATGTTTGCCATAGCTTGTACTCGAAAATTGGTGAGCCCACCGCTATAATATAAATACAGCCCCACCGCTACTGAACAAATTGGGTTTAGGCGTAAAATATTTCTGTATTTTATAATGCCAATAGGGGAGCCTGGATTGGGCGTACACGATAGATTTGCCTGAACGCGACCACAAAACGGATAAGTTTCCAATGTCAGACGGGTCGTTCATTCTGACAGCGTACGAATATAACGCCTTGGGAAAATAGATTTAGACCATAATCGTCTGCTTTTCCCACCCGGTTTCTCGTGCTTTCAAGTAAAAAGTGCACTGATGAAAAAGAAACGACCCTCTGGTTCGTGAATTAATAAAATTAGGTCAACGAACGTCCTGTGTTCGTCCTCACGTGCGACAAATGTGTCTATTCGTCATCTGCTGTTGCAAAATACTACACCAGTTCAAATCAACTGTTGCCAGCAAGCCTGCGGGTGGGACCGGCCGTAGCGGATTTTCAATCTTACATGATAGTTTTCATCCGGAAAAGATGAAAAAGGTTTATAGAGAAAGATAAATGTATCGTTGTGGCTGACTTGATTATCTTTGAAAGGTCACTGTGAAACTCTACTACACTCCTTGGGACAAACGTAGTTCTTGGTGCGTAATTTCCTTTGATTTTCGGGGTGTTCACGACCAGATGCACAGCCCTCTTATTTCGAATCTGATTATCTGTCGTTGTAATGCTAGAAAATGACCGAGCTGCATGCCCTGTCCAGGAACGTTGACATGACTGCCATTGCAATCAATGGTTCAATTTTCCGGGTAGATATAGGCTAGCGAAAATGTACGTGCGTATCCCTAACTGAACCTAAAAGTATCCATTGTCGGTCACTTGTACACTGCAATACAGTATTGTATTCGCTGAACGAGGCGAACTGCTGCCGCAGTGTTATGTCACAGCCATTGCCTGCCTGCCTGCCTGATAGAGTACTGCTTCGTTTGAACGCTTTTGTAACGAGCTATTCTTGTGCAAAATGGACTGCTAGTAGCTAAAATTGGGTTAAATTCACTTGTTTCTATAATAGACCGTTTTCATACGCTGCAAACGGTTCTGACGAACGTAGTTAGTTACTACGACAGCATTATTTTAGTTCTCTAAGTTTTTTTTCATGATATGACTCTTCGTCTTTCTGCCCAACGACGATTAGGGCTTTAGCGATTTGTTGATTCTCCGGCGATCATCTCGAGACATAGTTTGTTTTGGCTGTAGAAACAGCGCCAGCGACGGTCAGGCTTCACCCTGCAAGCCAAGCTATTCTTTTCATGAAGATCCCTTTAACTCATCCAGCTGCTCTGAGAATTCATTCCACATCCGGATGTTAGCTGAAAATTACGTTCAAACGGCTAAGCAAACTGGAACGAGAAAAACAGTTCTGCTTCCCTCGTTTTCTTCTGTATCTTTGATACGATCTGGATCTGAGAGTGATCCAATGTTGTTCGGAGGCGCTACGCCAGTTTCGTAGATCTTGTGGTTAATCATCAGCCTCCATGTCACCGCCATCCAGCGATTGCCCGTAGCAAACCATTACGTTTTTGCCCATTCACGGTCTCTCAATCCAACTGCCGGCGCCTCTTACCCTCTCCAATTGTTTTAGGCTTTTCTGCCTATTGAGCGTCGACAGCAGC